GCTTAAACCCCGATATGTCAGCTCAATGGACCCCACACAAACTCGCAAGACAAGTGTCATCCAAACAAAACGGTTGAAAAGATCGGCCACAATTTGGATTATCTTGTGATTTATTGAACCACAAAGACGACAACGACGACGCACTTTCAAAATCCCAGACCCAGACTTGCATTGATCCCAAGGCGACAAAAGTATTTCCATTTCAAAATGCAGTCAAAGCCACGGATTTCGTAACTCAAATGCAAACTGCACAGGTGGACAAGTTTAGGAGAGGCCCGAAAAAAATATATTTAACAAATAGCAGACCGCATTTGGGTCTGTTTTTTATATGTGGAACACTCAAATTTGGTTCAGGTTCGTCGTCGTGCTCTTATGTCATTTGTTGTCATTATGAAAAAATTATTATATTAATTTTGTAGAAAAAAAAACTAAACTGGAGCGTCAACAACAATAGCCGGCAATTAAATTTGGGTCTATAATATGTCAAAAAAGAGTGATATATGTTTCGGCAAACACGTGGCAAAAGCTTCAGGTGGGGTCTCCAAAAACAACATAAACTATTGCAGCATATTGCCCATAATAAATGCATTTCGAAGAGCTACCTAATCTGAAATAAAACATAATATATGCTTCCAGATTCCAAGAAAATTCGAGTGGGATACAAAGTTAACACGAATTGCTAAATCGAAATATTTGGGGAATTGTGTAATGAAATGGAATGAGGCTTAAGTTTTGAGAGGGTTTTACAGGAAATAGTAAAATAATTATGATACAATGATATAATGATATTAAAAGTCGATATTTAGAAGAATAATAATTAAGAATACTATGAAATTAACATAGTGTTATTTTCCCCCCTATAAATAAGGAATTATTAATGTCAAGCTGAATTTTTTAATTTAAAGATGAATTTAGAGAGGATTTAAAGAAATTATAATGTAATATAGGAACTGCTTGGTTAAAGTTACATTTAACTAAATTTACTGAATTAAAGATGAGTTTAGGGAGGCCTCAACACAATTATAATAATACCATAGAAACTGTCAATTTAAGCCTGATATTTAAAAGAATTATTACTTCAAATTATCCTAATTTTTAAGTATTTTTAACCCCTCTTAATCAAACTAACTTCAGGTTAGAAATCGTTGACCTTAAAATAAATTGCACTTATTACCCAAAACCCCTCTAATGCCTGATTCATTTGAAAGAAAAAAGTGCTCCCATAGCATCCGGCTAATTGAGCCGATTCAAAGCTGGCTAATAAATAGGCGGCCCATTACAATTATCATTTGGTAACTCTTCATTTAGGCTCCACCCAAAAAGCTTTTACTAGAGATAAGCATCGGCTAACCAGAAATTAGATACAATTGGCCCCAGACCAATTAAAGATACTTCCAACTGCCAGACCGTTTTTCTTTCCTTTCTTTTTAAACAAAAAAACAAAAAAAGAAAAACTATAAAAAACGGACAACAAAAAATGTACCAATTTGCTGCTGCTGAGCTTTAGTTTCGTTATAATTTTTGTTTGCGTTTTCATAGTTTCGGGGCATTTTGTTTGTGTAATTTTTTAGTGTAATTATTTAAACATTAAACCAGTTGAGCGGTCAGTTGTTTGTTTTGTCTGTAATTTTGTGGCAGTGAAAACAAGAAAGTCATAGAGACATGAAAATGAAATATCATCACCCATCCGGGCAAGTGACGAGGCAAAGGTAGATTCGGGTGAAGAAAGAGGTAAGATCTCTTTGATTAATCCAGGTGAAATTTGTTACAAAAAACGGAAGAACAAAATTAAATGCCATGATGGTTTCCCAAAAGCAAAGAAAACTCAACGAAAACAAACTCAGGAAAAACACACAAGTCAAAGACAATCAACAGCTGGCCAAGAGAAAGACAGAGAGAGAACCTACCACAACATTTTCCACCATTTTCCATCGTTTTCCCATTTTCGATTCCCTAGAACTGCGCATGACCCATGACCTTGAAGTGAAAAGGCTCCCCCTTCGTGGGCAGATTTTCCAGCGGAAAATTTTCACCACCCCAAAAACACCTGCTCACGCTTTTCAGCTCCATCTTGCAACAATTTCTGTGTGCCTGGTGAAAAACGTAATGGCGAGTTTGTGTGTTGACAGATTCAAGCGCCAATTTCTACCAAAAGCCAGTGAACATGTGGAAAACTCTGGTTGAGTTTTCTGCGAGCCTAATCGAGGCGCCAGAGGGCGCGGCGACCCGACGGCGCCGTCGACGTTTTCCCAACAAAATTACTGCCATCTCCCACGCCTCCGATTTTCATGGTCTGCAGTTCATTGGTTGGGGGTCCCGAGGGAAGCCGAAAGTTCCAAGGGAAGACTTGCCTTTGGAAGACCGACACAATCAATGATTCGCTCTGCCCGGCGATGCGGTTATCAGGAGACGTTGGAGCGCGATTTTCAGTCTCGAGACCGGCGGAAATCGGAATTAAGAGGCGGCGGCAAGTTCAAAGCCCCAATCCCCAACCTGTCTGAAAATGTAACCTGCGAAAAATACAATATTTCCCCCCATTGATTTTTAGTTTGGATAAAACAAGCGCAAACGAACAAAAACCATTAGAAGGTGCTAGGTCCTAATGATGGGCATCTCCCGGTGGTAATAACTTGTTTAAGCAGACTAATTGCCGCTGCCGGCGGTTCTATTCTTGTCTGGGATATAAGGAAACCCTTTTGATATCTCTCACCTAATGGCTTTGATTTAAGCTTCTAAATTAGCAGCAATTAAGGTGTTACAAGGTGAACTCTGTTTGCCCCGAAGAAAGCCTCGAATGATAAATATAAACAAAGGTTAGGCCAAAGTTATGCTTGAATAATAAAGCCAAGAGGTTCTTTAAACCTAGAACTAAATAATATACTTATTAACATTTATGCCACCAAAATAATAGCTGTAATTTGCATTTCATTAAGTTTCTAATATATAAATATAACCTTGAGATTATTAATTACAAATTAAAATCATAACAAAAGCTAAATATGTTTTAGATTCCAAAAGTGAATGCTTAGCGAATTGTAAATGCCATAAATATTCCAAAAAAGGGCGGTGTAATATAATTTTTATAGGAATATTTCATGGCACATTCTCTAGTAACAGCATTTACTTGCTTAATAGTTCCTTCACCTTCGAGCTACACAATTTAATTAATATCTCCAAGCAACTTCCTGTATCTGTGTGCCCTTAAGAATACCCATGTACCCGGCTAATTGCTTATAAGAATCAACTAATTGGCCTTGCCAATACATAAAGTCTGGCTATAAACAGAGTTGGCCTGGCCAAATAGAGAGCTAGAGAAACCTCTCAGACATCGCTCAGAATGTCTGTACAAAAATGCAGTAGAATGCAGTTAATGCTCTGCAGCCCAAGAGATTGTGAGTCACATTGAAAGGGCCACCTAGGAGATTCAAGATCCCATCGCACAGCCCACTCACAGAAAACGCATTTTCCAATTAACGTGGCTTATCTAAAAGCCGATAGATTACCGACCTGTATTTTGACAGTCTCCCCGGACGAATGATTAAACAATTAGCTGGCAGACAACCTGAGACACGTTCTGTAGATCCGTAGATCTGGAGACAAAATATATATCCCCCCATCAATTACAGAAGATGAAGAAGGGAGTTGTGGGTCTAGGAAACACACTCTATAAGCTGGGTTCAGCACTGGGAGAAAATTCTGTTATTTTTCTGAAGATTAATGTGAAAGAAAATAGAAAGGGAACAAAAAAAGAGAGGGTTCTTCTTCACTAAAAACTTATACAAAGTACGTACAAGATATATTTCATGTAAATATTTATTATTTTTTAAGTTTAGTAATTCTTTTTCATTTCTTATATAACTCTTTTTTGTTTCCATTTTGCAACTCTTATAATTTCAGCTTGCCATCATGAAAACATTAAGGAAAATGATGTGCATTTTCTTGCTGTGCAACTAAAAAAGCCACAAAAGAAAGTGAAAAATACTGGGTACGTTGGGTGCTGAGATGGAATGGGATGGGACCTTCTTCTTCATGGGAGTCGCCGTTTACACTTTCCCAAAAGCCAGCACGCAATCAGACAGAAGTGGGAAGGAGAAAAACCTCAATCAAAGCTGGCTGCATAACTTAAATGCAGAGGTCATCATCAGTTGGATAGTTGGATAGATAGTTGGATAGTGTGGGTTGTTTGTTTGGAAAGCGAGGGGATTCCGATGCCAATAGTCAGATGGATGGCACACGGAAACGCACATCACGGCACAAATGCCTGGCCGACAAAATAAAAGGCCAGTCAAGACAGAAACGAAAGAAAGAAAGAAGTTAACTGCGGCTTATTAACTGAAAATGAAAGCGTTTGCCGAAAAAGACAAAGAGCCGCGTCCCCATCCGGAAAGGCATCACTTTAACCGGTTTTCCGGCCCAGCTAATCACAGCCCCAGTTTTCATCACATTGCTACAGTTCCGCATCTGAAGTCGACACCCAACTGACCTCTGACAGTTTGAAATAAAGAAAAAATAAAACTAAAATAAAATACAGATTTTTTTTTGGGAGCTTGGGACCTTTCCCTGAAAAGTACTCAAATTTAAACCCATTCAAATTAATAAATAGCACTCGAAATAACTTGACATGGTAACTTGTCAGCGTCACTAAAATCACATAAAATGTCATTTAAGGTTAGTAGTTCCTTACGTTATCAAAAATCAAATCACTTGCTTTATATATGTATGTATGTATGTTCTATATGGTTCTAATTAACGTTTCCGTTTATATACAGATCCTATAGATTAAGGGGTATGTACAAGGCAATTGCCTTGATAAGAAAATGTGTTTGTAGAATGAAAAATGAACTAAACCCTTTACTTTGTATGTTTTTTTAAGAAAAACTATATTCTAGTAAATTTTATGTTGAAATAAAATTTTACAGGCAATGTATACAATCCCAAGAAATTCCAATAATATTGTAAACCTCTATGAATATGATATTTCAAACGATTTGTTGACTTACCTCGATTGATGACAATGGCGCTGCCGTCTCCGCCGTTGGTACTGTTGCTTGTGGTTGTGCTGCTGCTGGCGCTGTGGTCCAGCTGGTCCCGCGAGGAAATGTTCAATTCCGCATTGTGCTCCTTGGTCCGCTCCGCGCTCTGCTGATCCCCAGGCGGAGGCAGACGCTCCTTGCCAGAGAAGTGCACGCTGCCGTCGCGATGGAAGTGCAGCTCAAAGCTGGCGGGCAATCCGGACTCGTAGTCCGCCGGACGGCAGCTGTGCGCCTGGATGGCCACTTTGTAGTAGAGCGTGGTGAACTGGTGGATGAGGGCCCAGGCCTGGTCCTCGGACAGTGGAGCCTTGAACGAGTCCAGAATGTTGTTGAGGGTGACGCACTGCTCCGGGCAGGAGCACTGGTGGAAGGCCAGGCGGACCAGCTGGTGGCCCGGCATCATTTCGGAATCACTATGATGTTGCCCAAGGGATACGGCATTCTTGGTTGCCACCTTGGGGGCATCGCCATTGGCGCTGTCCGGCGAGGTGGAGAGGAAGCCCTCCTCCGAGTCCTTGAACTTGGACGGGGGCACGGGCGCGGACTCCGGCTCGGAGGCCTGGTGCTCCGTCATCTTGGCTAGCGGATTCTTGGCGCGTCTTAGCACTTGGGCCACATATAATTGATTTGCACTCGAGGCGCCCTTCGTTTTAACCTACGAATTTCACAATTCTTGCTTGTTTTTTGCAGTATTTTCTGCTTTTCTTTTTGTATCTGGTTTACTATTTTTTTTCTGGTTTTGGTTTTTGAACTAAACACAATCGGAATGTAAATGGAACTAAAGGCAATATTAATGCCGCACAGAATTATCGAATATTTGTTTGTTGGCTGACTACATTTAACACAAAACACAAGGCAAACGCGCGACGATGGGGTAACGAAACAAAAAAGAACACACGAAATACGAAAAATTATGCTCGAGAATTATTATTGGTGGTCACGTTTTCCTGCACTTTTCGCATTTGCCGTTATGTTTTCGGGGACTCTGCTTTGCGGCTTAGCTTCTTCATGGAATTTCACAACACTGATTAAGATCGTTTAAGTCACGCGCACTTCTTGGTATCGATATATGTATGTATTTTTCCAAATTTAATTTCATTATTATTGAAATCTCTGTACGTCTCTTTTAATCGCAATTAATATATTTCTTCTCCTATTCACTTGTTCGCTTTTGCGTTATCCGTTTCCACGTCCGCTCGCGCGAGTTTTATTTTCCAACTGAATTATCAGCAGGTTTCACCGGACGACTCAGCCCCAACAACCGCTGCAGCAGTGTTGGCAGCTTAGCTTTATCCTGGCCAGACCTAGCCAATTTGAAATTGCATAATAAGACAATATAGTTATTATTTATTTTACAAGGTGTTCTATTCCTTAAAATGAATAAAATAAAAATAATTTTTAATTGTTAAAAATTTGATACTCAGATGTAAAAGAAGAAAAATTAAAATTTTCCGAGAAGCTAAATTTAAAGATAAATTGGTTTATTATGAGCAAGTAACAATTTGTTTAATGCTTTATTATTACACTATATATTTAGTTTTTACAAAAATTTAAATGTTTCATTTTGAGGCGGCCATTATTGGAATTACTCTAGCCTTTTACCACTAGATCTAGCATTTTTTAATTGCCAAATTGCTGTTTTCGGAGCCAAACTTGGTAATATTAGTTATCTAAAAACTACTAATACTACTTAAATTAGTGAAGTTAACTTTAAGTTACGTTTAGGCAACCAACTGACAATTTTTTTTTTTAGCTTATTTTAGCTTTTTTTGGCTAAGAATCTAGCTATTCATGACTTAGCAACACTGCTCGGCGAGCAAGTGCTCGGCTAGTGAAACAGCTGGTACATGTTGGCTCTGAAAGTCGCTCAGCTGTTTTGTTGCTTTGACTCTCTCAGTTGCACTCTCGCCACGCTCTCTTGTTCACACACTCTCTCTCTCTTTGGCTTTTTATTTTGATTCCGGTTTTCGTTTGATAAGAAACTTTGCCTTTGCCATTGCTTTTGCTTTTGATTTGGCTTTTGCGTTAGCTTCGTTGAGTCTTTATGGTTTATTTTTTGTTTTTGTTCAGCAATTTTGATTTAGTTGCTGCCAATTTCGGTAAAAAATCATGTTAAGGTCAAAAGCGGGAGTCAGGCCGCCAGGTGGCGCATAAAAACCTGTGCGTCGCCGGAAATGGTTAAAACTTAAAATAAAGCGTTAAAAATTGCAATTTAGAGTTGCGCTTAATTTCCCGTCACAAAGATTGTATAGCCATTATTTCCAGGGAGCATTGAGACTACAGCGAATATACATATTATCAAAAGAATTTATCTTATTTGATTCAAAGCTATCTTGTATTTTTATAGAATTTGGTTTTTAGTTTTATGATAATCGGAATTCTTGCCAGAGAAACAGTAAACTATGAGCAGTAGTAACTATGAGCAGTAAGTACCCTTCAGTACCAAAATTATATGAGCACTAATTAACTATGATCAGTAATTACCTATAAGCAGTAAGTAACTATAAGCATTAAGTAACTATGAGCATTAAGTAACTCTGAACAGCAAGTATCTATAACTAGTAAGTAACTATGATCAGTAAGTTTCGATGACCAGTAAGTATATATTACCAGTAAGTATGTATGTCTGATCACTTACTAACTTTGAACACTAATAAACAATGACTTGCAACTTTTGTAACACAACACATTTCCAAGACTCGGCCGGCAGCAGTCACTTCGTTCTGGGGATGTTAGAACCAGTTGAGAATTATATGACCACTAATTAACTATAATCAGTAATTACCTATAAGCAGTAAGTAACTATGAGCATTAAGTAACTCTGAACAGCAAGTATCTATAACTAGTAAGTAACTATGATCAGTAAGTATCGATGACCAGTAAGTATCTATGACCAGTAAGTATCTATGATCAGATACTAACTTTGAACACTAATAAACAATGACTTGCAACTTTTATAACACAACACATTTCTAAGACTCGGCCGGCAGCAGTCACTTCGTTCCGGGGATGTTAGAACCAGTTGGGAATTATATGACCACTAATTAACTATGATCAGTAATTACCTATGAGCAGTAAGTAACTATGAGCATTAAGTAACTATGAGCATTAAGTAACTCTGAACAGCAAGTATCTATAACTAGTAAGTAACTATGATCAGTAAGTATCGATGACCAGTAAGTATCTATGACCAGTAAGTACCTATGATCAGTTACTAACTTTGAACACTAATAAACAATGACTTGCAACTTTTATAACACAACACATTTCTAAGACTCGGCCGGCAGCAGTCACTTCGTTCCGGGGATGTTAGAACCAGTTGGGAATTATATGACCACTAATTAACTATGATCAGTAATTACCTATGAGCAGTAAGTAACTATGAGCATTAAGTAACTATGAGCATTAAGTAACTCTGAACAGCAAGTATCTATGACTAGTAAGTAACTATGATCAGTAAGTATCGATGACCAGTAAGTATCTATGACCAGTAAGTATCTATGATCAGTTACTACATTGAACACTAATAAACAATGACTTGCAACTTTTATAACACAACACATTTCTGAGACGTGGCCGGTAGAAGTCACTTCGTTCCGGGGATGTTAGAACCAGTTGGGAATCATATGCACAGATGTGTGAGATTTGTTTTGGATCAAATTTAAGCTATTTGAATGAAACAATGGACAAATTCTTCTATATAATTTAACTAGCATATAGGTCGGAGCATGGCGAATCGGTGGACTATATATATACATATATATATAAGCCATAGGAACGATCGGAAAATGTTAAGAAGAAATATTATAACTTTTCCAGTTTCAGTTGCCATACAAACGATCGTTAGATATAGAGGAAAATGCATAAAATCGTAAGTTTTGTATTAAACAAAAACAATAATTCTTAAATCTAAAAAAATAGCCATACCTTAGGTTATATGAAAATAAGAAAATAAAACTAAGTTATCTTCTTACAAGTTATGTAAAAACTTAAGCAGCCTGAGATACCTTTGAATGCAATATACATATAAATGTACATATTAATGGAAAACCCCTCGCCTAATTAAATCGGAATTCAGCTGTGGAAGATGATGCCTTATCTATATAGGATTTCGCCTGATCGCTGGCGTGCATTCAAGGTTCAGCCAGCAGTCAGCATCCCGACAACATTTGTAACTGAAAGATCGGTGACAGGCGCATTTTTACGAGTTAATAAGCCCCATAAGTACGACCCCCGCCTGCTTGCTGGCCAAGTTATGATATATGAGCCGTAAATTGAAACTTTATATCAATGCCGACGATTTCGCTAGGGGAAGTGGAGGCTGGGAAGGGATTTGCATACAATATTATTACAGCATCGGCATCTGCGGTAAGCTTTAACGACTTGTTTTTGTCCGTTCGTATAAGAAATAATAATAATAAAAAGTAAATAAGCGAGAAAACAGAAGACATCTCTCTATACGTACGTACGTTTTATTAATTGCAAGAGGAGCCAGAGGAGTGGGGGATGTCTGCCCACGTAATCATTGGATGGCCATAAAAAGTGTGTCCTCCTAGAGGGAGATGGCCCAAAGCAGCAGCTGGACGACACCTAAGACTCCGCCAAGAGCCAGTCATCCCATCCAGATGTGGCAATTGTCTCGTTTTATGACCGAATCGCTAATGAATTAATTAACCAACTGGTGGCTGCATTGCGTTGGCTTAACACCCGATAAAAAAATAATTATTTGCCAGATCTTGGCTCGGCTACGACTTCGACTTTGGCTTTGCTGAGTTCAACAGCCGCTGGCGAACTTCAACCCACAATCGTCAGAGACTGCAGCTGGTTCAGATCGGATCGCTCTTTGTTCTCCTCACAATATATGGCAATGGAAATGGGAATAGGAATGGGAATGGTAATGGTAATGGCCATAGAACCTGACTCGCATGAATCACCCACTTTAACTATGGCCATAACCCAACATCACCCACCAGAAACTGGACGGGCCAAAGCCAAATAAATGTGCATGCGAAAAAACAAAAAGCCAGTTAACAAATGTGAAAAGCTGTAGTTATGATGCCCTGTAAGGTGGGGTATATATACTAAAAAATAGGGTACAAAAAGGGTATATAACTTACTATATCTCCGTCTTGACTATGGTCAGAATTTAAACAATGCACATAGTCACATTATAACTTTGTAACTAAGTCAAGACACTTTAAGACATCAAAAATTAGTTTTTGGTGCATTATAATTTAAAATAAATTAATTAATATTGTTTATATTACATTTTAAAGGATATTTTTTAGTCGAATCTCATCCAAATCATCCCAATTCCCTGCTTTGCTGACTGTTCTCTGGGGAGGGTTCAGCCAAGCGTTGCATTTTTGGTCAATTACGTTTGTCGCGCGGGCGGCACTTGGCCAAGCTCCAAACTGGGGCTCCAAGCTGGACTTAGGTTTGGATTCAGATCCAACTGCAACTATATACTATTATATACATAGATTTATAGCTTCGGCTGACTTGGTCAGCTTTGTGGGCGTGGATTCTGAGTTTGCTTTGTCACGAAATGCGAGTAGCACCGGAAATGTGCATCCGTTTTTGTTTTTTTTTTTCGGCGTCTAAATGCCGGCATTTAGTTGGTAAAAAGGGAGTTGGGAAATGTGTGTCAAACGCAGCCAAGTCGAGTCGCTCTTTTTGGCCAAATCTTGCTGCTGCAGATTGCGTGCCGCGACTGTTGCCACATGTTGCTGCTGCAACAGCAACGGAGGAGGATGCAACGCTTCGATGCGCCTGACACTTTTGCCAAGAAGTTGCATAAATCCCCCGCAGCCGGCAGGTAAATTGCCGAAACACAGTTGCACTTCTTAACTAAGTAGGGGGATTTAAATGGGATCTTTACCTGTGAAATTAGTAGACTTAAAGGGATTTTAAGTAAGCAAAAATCTTGACTTTACTTTAAGAAAATTACCTGAAATATTAATGGATTTAAAATGCTAAAGATTAAGATTAAGATACAGAAAATGTACATTATTTAAATCCTTGATAATTCAATTTCTTTAAATAGGTCCGGTTTTTTTTTTAACTTTCACAGGCCTGCTTATTTCCTTTATTAATAATTTCTCTTACTAACATCCGAACAACATATTGCATTTTCTTATTTTCCTTTTAGAACCCGTTTCCATCTGGGCTAGGAAAATTAAATCTTTGCT